ATTGCCCCAATCACAATGTCATGTCTCTAAACTATTTTATTTTTAATTATTCTTCTATAAACTATTTTAAAACCAAATTTTGGATGTCTAGTCCTCTATTAAACTCGCACTAGTAAAAATTTTAAAAAAAATATTTTCAATAAAATAAAATGACCAAAATACCCCTGAAAGATTCAAGGAGTATTTTGGTCAGTATATTTTATTGAAAAATTATTTTTAATATTGTTTATAGGTATGCCCCAATGAGAATATGACACGTACCAAATTTCATATTCATGCAATTTGTATAGAAAAAACTTCTAAGATCAACTGGTGAGTGGCTCTCTTGATCAAAATTGGACGACTGGATGGTATGAGAAGCATAGTTCTTCTTCTATACTGTAAGGGAAGTATAGAAACATTTCTCATATATAGATAGGGTTTGTCTAGAGTTAACAACCCCTTAAATTACGAAGGATCAAGTTAGATGGGGCTGTGATGGGTTTATTTATCAAAACAATCCTTTTTATTAAAAATTTATTTAAATAGATAACTTTACCATCTTGCAAGGGAAAAATTGAAATTTTCACAAACGTATAATGAAATTTTGGAAATTAGTGTCCTGGAACTTTATTTGTAGAGTGCCATTATCTTTTAGTTAAATTTTCAACTTTACCCCTTATGGAGATAACAAAAATAATTTTTGTCTTGTAGTAATATTTACAAAATTGCCCCCACAAAAGTAACTTTTTTTAAAAAAATAGATTACAAAATTAATAAATCTACATTTCACAACTCTCTCTATCTTGAACCTTTGTAATTTGAAGGGTTGAGAAGTTTAGATTATCTCACATATATATATATCATTGTAATATAATGAAACCACACTTTTAGAAAACTATATTTAATACATTTGTATGACCACAAATTTTGTACACACTCCCTTCGTCCCAATAATCAAATACCAAAAAAATAAATATTCAATTTATGTCCTTGATAAGGTTAAAGTCAGTGCGTTCTAACCATGAATCGCGACTATTCATTTGGTGAATTTCAAGATCTAGACCTTTATAAATTTAAAAATCATTTTTTTTCTTTTTTAGCATAGTTAATCAAATGATATTAAAGCTATTTAAAATTTTTAAAAAGGAAAAATTCTTCTGAGCATAGATATAAGCATCTCATTAAAATGGATGACCTATATTAGTTGGGCTCAAAAAGAATCTTTTGAGGTGTGTTTTCAAATTTTGTGTTTTTGTGATTATTCATTAGATTGAAAAGAGTGTGCATTTAAAAATGGGAAAAGTTTATATAAGGTTGCAACCTTAAAATGTAGAATCACAAATGCAGCTCAAAAATCTATCAGAAATGTTGTTTTAATATTGAAAAAACACTCTAATCGATAATCTCGACATCAAGATGTATGAATATGAAAAAAAAAAATTTTGACTTCTGGAAATAGTGTATCGTGCAACACATTATCTAGACCATCCATTTTCAAGATTTTCATATATTTATAGATCTACTTAATTTTAACTATTTTTGGAATTTAAAATTTTCTAATTAGGTATGAAAATAGATTTTAAGAAAATACTAAGAATTTTTTACAACAAAATTACATGTTATAATAAAATTTTAAGGTGCGCCTTGATTGGATTGTTTAAAGTTGCAGCCTTATAGAAACCACACCCTTTAAAAATGGGTTTTAAACAAATG